CCCCAAAACCCCAAAACCCCAAAACCCCAAAACCCCAATTTTGTAAAAAGATTGTAGAAATATGATCAGATTTTATTGCAATACTCTGAGTTTTTCATCATATTTATCACTTTCAAGAGGTTCTTCAGAGAAGCAGATTTCTATCATTTGGTCGTAGGTCATGCCAAAGCTCTCAATGTATCCTTTGAACTCAGTGAATGAGCAGTCAATAGAACTGCAGCTAGGAAGTTTGAGTTGAATGTCATTGAAAATAGCTTTAACATAGTAGCAAGCATCTTCTGAAGAGTCTCTACATGCTTTGGTGTCTCTTCTATGCAGCTCAAATAACAAAATTGATGCAAACTCTACGTGCTCTAGCTGAAAGTTTTCAGGGTTCAAGAGCTGCATTATATGAGAAAGCTGGTAATCATGAGATGAGAATAGAAGGAATTTTGGGGTTCCAAAACTTTTCAATAGCTCTTTGTTGTAGTCCTGACCCATACGAGACTTCATCAATTCGAGTATTGGGAATAAGTATCTTAAAGACAAGATTTGGCTTGAGTAAGGAGATAACATTTGAATTAATATTGGTACTTGCATTGATTTAACAATTTCCCATTCTTTAGAGGTGAAGTTAAATCTATCTGAAACTCCTTCGAAATTCTCAGCAAAGAGAGCATCAGAGTATTTATAAATCTTCATGAATGAGAGGTCATCAATATCAATATTAAATGCTTTGGCAATTTGATTAAAAACAAGTGGTCTGAAATAATCATCATGATCTTGCCAAAATTGAGGATCATCAATTCTTCTCAGATAATCATTCACAATATATGGGCATCCTCCGTACCCAATTAATGAATCAATATATAATCCATAGTTCTTTACAGTGACAGGTTGCATTCCGTCTTGAACAGCATCTGTTCCAAGTTCTGTTATAATATCTTCCAAGTCATGCACATTAAGAGGAGGGGTGGATACATCAATCTGGTCTGATCTTAAGTCTTCAGCTGTTCCTAGCGGGAACATGCCTAGCAACTGTGCATATGCACTCTGTACAGTTCGTTCAACCTGGGTTGACCTGACATAAACTTCTTCAGGGTCGAACCTTGAACTAAGAAGATTCTGTGACTTAGGCATGCCCTTCACATACCTATTTCTGAGTTCATCTCCTATCATTAAGTGCTGTCTGAACCCAGAAGAAGTAAGCATGCCTTTTCCGTTTTTGTAATGAACGCCAAAGTTATCTCCTTCTGGAGCTCTGGCTCCATGACGACATATCTCAGAAACGAATTCAAGTTTGCAGCTGGAAAATGAAATCAAGCACAGAAGAACTAATAGTACTATAAGTAAATTCGAAGCCATTTATTTGACTGGCAATTTTTATAATGAAGTAGGGGTTTTGGGGTTTTGGGGTTTTGGGGTTTTGGGG